CCCCGCCCCCCAGGTGCTCCCCCCCCCCCCCATTCCCCCAGCGCTGACCGGAGGAACAAGTGGGAATGGGCCAGGCACAGCTGGCTCTGCCTCTAGAAAAGCAGAGCCAACTGTCAATCAGGCAGTGGGGTGGATTCTGGCAATATTGTCGGTATCCATTCTGGCTGCAGCGCGATACTGCACTTTCAGCATATAGCAGGCAATAGCCTGTTATATGCTGAGTTTTGGGGGAGGAGGATATTAGTATCTATCCTCCTGTCACCCTAAAGAGAACTATGGCCAAAAAGGTTGGGCCATAGTTCTCTTTTAAAAACTATAACTCTGTATGCTGAAATCAAGGTAAGCCAGTCAAAAATAATGGTTAGCACTCTTGCTTTCCAAATCTTATTTTAGGATTCAAATCCTGCTTGTTGACATAATCTGCAATAAGTTTATATGTTCTCCCTGTCTTTGGGTGTTTTTCCTCCCACATACTAAAGATATACTAGTTTCCTCATACATACTAAAGATATACTGGCAGGTTAAATTACTTTGTCCTAAATTGGACTTTCAATGTGCGCAAGAGTGTGGTGGGAACATAAGATGGAAAGCGTCTCTGCTTTGCAGATACTGGTATGAATGGTTGTAATCAGTAAAGTAATTTGTAATATGCCAGAGCTATATAAACTCTAGAAATAAGGAAAATATCAGGTGTGATGTCCTCAATAAACCAGATATGACTTACTGCTCGCATTCCTGTTTGATCATCAAATTTTTTACTGCCTGATGGTAATGGTTGTTACTCCTACTGAAGGCCATCAAGAAACACTAGAGAGCATCATTGGGATCTAGGGGTGAGTTTCAGCGCTACCAGAGGTTCAAGCAGAATCCTGCAAGTTTAAGATTTGCAGTGCCTTCGAATTTAAGGGCAAATTTTTGCCAGGTTAAATTCTACGCATTTGAACTTTGGTCAGCTGGCTTAGGGATGAGGGGTCAGGATGGGCAGGAGAGGTAGCTACCCTGTGAGCATAGTTTTCATGTGAGCTGCACCCTCCTCATCACATGCGTTCTGGCTGGGCTGATGCTATTTATAACCAGTGCAAAGAGACTGGCAGAGGCAGAGCACATACAGCTGGAAGGTGGCTCTAAGATGTCACTGAACACTTTTGGGTCCACATTGAACCCATTTGGTAGAGCCAAAACTGCCCAGTTATGCTAAGACAAGCGCAGCAGCAGCTGGAAGTGGGATTCCAGCTGCTGTAGACAATTTGGTATCTTCACCTTGAGCCCTGGATGACCTTGTCCCTGTACTGCTGATGACCTATTTTACATCGATGTATCACCTGCGGTCTCTAAATTCTTAGGAGCTTGTAAGAAACTGGCCAGCGGCAGGACAGTTTTGCATCAGAAGAACAGGGTCAGCCTCACTAGACTACTAACCAATTTATATCTACCAAAGACAGCCTAATACCATAACATACAGTTGGGGGGAATTTATCAAAACTGGAGTAGACAAAAACTGGAGCAGTTGCCCGTGGCACCAAATCGGCTCCTCTCTTCCGTTTGTTCAGTTATGATTTGAAAATGAAAGAGAGAAGCTGATTGGTTGCCATGCACAGCTGCTCCAGTTTTTGTCTACTCCGCTTTTGATAAATTCCCTTCAGTATGTTTATTCTGAGAATCAGATAATGTAATACAGGGTAATATGAGTTAATTTATGGTGGGATCTGGAAGCCACCTTTATAATAAAGACGGAACCAGATATCCACCCTCTCTCAGGGAAAGAGTACAGGGGTACATTAGTACCTCTTACCCATTCCCACAGAGAGTAAAAAGAGTAAAAAGCAAAATAAACACACACACACCAAATGAAAAAGTTCTTTAGTTACATTAAAACACACACACATACTTACCTGCTTTTAAATCATTTATTTATTTGTCCCCAGAAGTAATTCCATGTCAAGCACGGCATACAGCAATGTAATCAAGGTCTATCACAGCATCCAGCGGAGTAAATCACGATGACCCATCGCTCGCTGATGTGTACATCCCGCACTCCTGTCACTAAATGACAGATTACTAGCTACTGTAATGTAAATCAACAGCTAGGAATCCCAGGTAATGTAATTGACCAAATTTAGAGTTAAACCAAGGAGGAGTTAAACCAGGGAAAACGACAAGGCCTGGGAAAGATTTATCTGATCTCTGTATCCATGTAGAGTCTTATTGGATCTAAGGTCCAGGTTATACATGCCGCCTTGACTTGACAAAATGCCATCTAATCACAACTGTCAAATCTAACTGCTGAAGTACACAGGCCTTGATTTATTTTCATGTATACATTAAGCCTACCACCTCCTAATGCTAAACTCCACCACATGTAGCTGTCAAGGTGTAAAATCTCTACTGCCCACTAAAGTTCTAGCATTTAGCAGTGAACAACACTGGAGGAGGTGGGCACAATCTTGACTTGGCCTTTACAACCTGGGCCTAGGATCCAAGGGGGCTCCACAGGGGAATTAGTCTCAAGGCTAACATGTACCTGCAGGCAGCACAAGGTTGATGCATTTCAGCACTGTTCTTACCTTCTTAAACCAGAACGCAAGCCTTGCCTCTTTTCAAATACCTATATGCTCATCCCCTCAAAACTGCCTCCTCACTATTCTTTTTCTGCAGAAGACATTGAGGGGAATTTATCAAAAGTGGAGAAGACAAAATCTGGAGCAACCATGCATGGCAACCAATCAGCTTCTCGCTTTCATGTTCAAAGCTTAACTGAATAAACTGAAGTGAGACGCTGATTAGTTGCCATGGGTAACTGCTCCAGATTCTGTCTGCTCCAGTTTTGATAAATTTCCCCCATTGAGTTTCTCACAGTATTCTCCTGAAGTCTGAATGCAGTCCTATGTTTCTGAGTCAATTACAATCTGCATAAAGGACAGCGTCATCCAGGTACTTCCTCATCAAGCTGGTTGTCAAGGCCACTCTCCCTGTAGTCCTTTGGACTACAAGGGGGTTGTCAGCATGTTTTGCACATCATTTGTAGGTGCTTGTGAGCAGGACCTGTCTAAAAATTCTACAGCCTTTTAGCTACATGTCTGATAAAATCAGATGCTTGCTATAAAAGGATGCAATAAAATTTGCCGCTGCTCTTTGCAAAACTCCGCCAAAACGAGATGTCTGAAGAATGTTGTGAAACTTTGCCAGGCACTATAAATGCAGACAGAGCTGCCCAGGTCACAATGCAGATGCTCATCTGCATTCTTGCAAGTGTTAGGGGTCTATTTAAAAAGCAGTAGTATGGCTGTATTGTGGCTTAAGAAAAATAAGCTCTGCACATTTATCAAAAACAGCTGAGTGTAAAAAAAAATGGAAGTTGACAAAAGGGAGGGAAGAGACCCGATTACCTGACCTGTCAAAGTCACATGTCACGGTGTTAGAAATGCTGACAGATAAAGATGCAAATGACCAATTCTAACCACGGTTGGATTGTAATAAGCATAGTCTGCTGATGATCAGTAGCAAGCTGCTTGGCATAAGGGGCTGTACTCTAAAAATTCACATATTAGGGTCATGAACATTAATGTCCAAATGATTGTGTCAGCTCAGTGGATAGCTGCAGTGTGTAGGGAGATCAAGTGCTATTTAAAAAGCTTAGTTCAACAGAATCAACAGATACAATACTGTAGTAGCGAATAAATTAATTATGAGCTAATTAAAATGCTGCTTGTGTATAGTACTCACCAGCCAGATCAAGTGGGAACTGTAACATGCTCCATGTCCATATTCCAAGGATTGAGTAAACCAATATGATGTTTTCTCTGAAAATTAAACACACAGAATTGAAATTAATATGTAGCGCCCATCACCTTTGGTGAGGTGCTTACTAGCTATTTAGTGATAGCCAGGGCTGTAGGCAGCCTGGTTGAATTTTGTAGCAGCCAGCACAAGGTTAATCCCAGGTGTCCAACCTTGTCTGTACCCCCCTGGGCGGAGTGAGACTCTGTCACATTATGGGACAGCCAATGGGTGACACTGTGATATGTGTACAGGGCAGCAGCCAGTTACTGGGCTTTTTGTAGCCAGTGATGTCTGCTGACAAAGGATATATATATTGGTGGGAGGCCATGTGCTCGCTCTCTTGCCTGGACCAGCCATGGACTGAGGTTGGGTCCTGTTCAGCCTGCCCCTAGGCTAGGCCGAGGCCTGGGGGTGGGAGTTGGCTGAGCTGCTGAAGGAGAAGCCTCCTTGAGAGTTTGCAGTCAGGAGAATGCCTGTAAGAATGGAAGAATCAGGACACGTGTGGGCTTTTGAAGTGCCTGGTATTCAGAGGGACTTCTGAGCAGGGTCAGTGTTCTTCCAAGTATTGTGGAGATGTACTTCACGAAGATAAGATCTGGTGAGTCTGGAGCTATGGAGGCCGGTGCACCTAGACCCTATACCCTCTCTCCCTAATTAGAAGTGAATAAACTGTTTAACCAGCATCTTACGATTGGAGCGGACTTCAATTTGTGGGCACAGGAAGAGGGCGGTTAATGCTAATGGGGCAGTTGGAAATCTATCCCTAGACTGATTAGATATGGACCTGTTCATCCAGCGGCTCCTTCGGGGGTGAGCGCTACAAATATTTTTTTAAATATGCCACAGTATTAAAAATAATTAAGGTTGGTAATAAAGGCATAGTGCACCTTTTACGAAAAAAATAAATAAATGCACATACATTCATAAAAGAAAAAAAAGTGCATTTATTATTTTTTGCATTGGAGCCAGTAAAGAATTGCAACCACAAAAAGTGAATCACAGGTGCAATGCTTAAGCTCCTTGACACTGTTCCTCCTTGTCCTTGTCTGTAACGAGGTATGCACTTTCAGTTCCAGTGGTGGGAGGAAATATCAGTGTACTACAAGTCCAGTTATGTCACCGCACTTGTACTCCATTGAGCTCTACCATGGCGGCAGACAAGATTTTTAGTCTCTCCATTTGCAGATCCTGTCAAAAGGTCTCTAAATGGATGACACGACTGTGCGGGTGGAGCCACACACAGCTGCACCGAATTCAAATGATGCCTGAATGCTGTAGGAAGAAGAACCCCACAATTCAGGTAATTCGGGGTGGGGGGATGCGTGTTGAGGGTGGGGGCAGGGAATGTGATTACGTTTCATGTCATGCTCTGAAGAGAAAAATGTAAGGTGCACCCTTAACACTGGATTCACAGAATGCTATAGAAATATAGCTCAACAGTCCAAAATTGTATACTGTAGGTCCCCTTTAAAGGGGCTTTCTACTTCAAGTATGTAACTTTCAATCCCATCTCCAATCTCTTGAGAGTTAAAAACAAATATTGCATGCTATAAATTAACCCGGTCACATTTTACTTCCTAGCAGGAGGAGGGCAGCTTGAGCTTGGAAAGCCTTTCTTCTTGTATTTGTTTTTGCTAGTAACAGGTCTGTGTCTTACACAGACTTGTAATAAATCATTGAGAGGTGACCTTTAAGGTTTTAGAGCCTGTAATTCTGCCATGAGTGCAATGTTTGGGTGAGAAAGAGCAGGTTAACATCCATAGCAATAACAAATGGTTCCCTGTTGTGGAATGCATATTGTATTTTGTTACAGCTTTATTTAGCTGAAAACATACTCATTACAAAGTGGTAATTGTGTCCATTTCGTATTGTTGACATCCATTATTGTTTAAACATCTGATCTGGAGGTAAAACGAAATGGAGCTACCTTTCACAGAAGACACTGAAAGGTTTAAATTACTAATGGCACACTAGTGTGCCTTCTGGCTTCCTCAGGGGTGCCTTAAAATTTTGCGGTATGTGGACTGTAATATGAATCTGGTCTGCATACTGATGCAAAGGACGCCTCTTATGTGAAGGGGAAATCTTGATTTCAAGGGGGCACTGCCATGTGAACAAGGGACCCCACTTTTTGCATGGGTTCCCCCTTAAAATCTGATTTTAAACTGGGGTGCATACTTTTAAAGGGTGCAGTGACTAAAAAAAATTGAGAAATGCTGATATAAAGGATGTTCACTTAGTGCACGTAAATAAGATGAACCTGTGTTCACATTTAATACTCAATCATGTTCAAGGAAAATGTATAAAATGGGATTTTGCTAGTACATAATTGTTTGAAGAAAAAACACAACTTCACAGCTTCACCTTAGTTACTAAGATCAGGCTTTGCAAAGGAACATTCATTTTGATAAGTAGACATGTGCACAACAAAAAAAAAAATTCAGACGAAACAAATGCAAACAAAAAAAGTTTTCATTTGTTTCGTCAAAGGAAACACATTTTTATGTTGTTCCAGATTTGGGGGCAACGAACCTCCAAATCCGAAACTGCACACTGAAACCGCAGAAAGAGCAGCGGCCATATCGGCTGCTGGCACTTTCTGCACATGTGCACCGCCATTTTGGAGTATATCTTGGTATACACCAAGATGGGGGCACCCACATGTTCGAGCTCCTCCATCTTGGCGTATACCAAGATATAATCCAAAATGGCGGCGCGCATGCGCAGAATGCACCGGTGGCCGATGTGGCCACCCCTCCTTCAGCGTGTGACATCACCGTCATGTGACGCCATACGTTCCGCCTCCAAGATGGTGGTGGGCAAGCGAAGCCACCGCCTTGTTCTCAAAAAACAAATTTATGTATGCCCGAATATCGTTTTCGTAAATTCTGGCATATAATAAATTTATTTTGGACTTGTGTTCAACTTTACTTCAAAATCATGTTTATTTCATTATGTTTTAATACAAATAAGGTGTTTTACAGCAAACCATAAAAAAAAGAAATAATCTGATGGTAACTGGTGTTATATCTGAGCAATGCTACTTGGTTGCTTTGCCAAATTCCAAACTGTGAGTCTCTCCTGAAGTGAATAGCCGAACAGTGTTCGGCTCACTTCACTTCTGATCGGTCATTCACTCGGCTGCCCTCGGCAGCTTTGTGAATAGACCCCTAAGTCTCCTGGCTTTTGTATCGATTCCCTCTCAGAGCAAAACACTTTTTCACGTAAACCTTATAAGCGGATAATGAAAAACAACCTGCTTACCTAATATCAAAGATTAGGCCCTACTGAACCTAAAATGTAAAAGTCATTTTCCCATAGCATTAATTAGTATATTTAGTAAATTAAATAGGATGGCTCCGATCTTCCTGTTTTAGCTGAATTTTATCAAGTGTAATATTGATAACTTGCTGGTAGACTACATTTGGATTATGAAGGCTGCTTTTGAATTACATTTTTCATTGTCTGGAATAGCATTGTTGTTATAAAATATAAGCAGTAGCAGCGCGTCGGTGTGGATTTAATGTATTTGACTTCTCCCAAGCTATCATCCCTTTATTTTTAACTTTAAAGAGCAGATCATAAAATGAAGACAAACAGCAAGAACAGATTAGTCACTTTATTACTAAATGGACTCTTTAAACAGTAAGAAATAGGTAAATAATTTAATCTTATAAAATCCAGCGTAAGTGGCCAAAGAAATATTGTGGATTTGAGTCAGTATTTTAAAAACTGTTGTTGACTTTTGTAAGGAATGGCAAGCTTTGGACTCACTTGTTATCTCTCGTCTCGACTATTGCAACTCCCACCTCATTGGCCTACCTCTACACAGGCTACCCCTCCCCCCCCCCACTTCCGTCTATCATGAATGCTGCTGCTAGACTCATCTAACTAACCAACAGGGCCAGATTTCCCACAAGGCCACTGAGGTCTGGCCTCAGGGAGTAGAGGGGCAGCACAGCCGCTGGGCGGGTAGTGTTTTTCTACATTTAGCCCTGCTTCGGTCAAGCAGGGCTAAATGTAGAGCAGGGAAGCCTCCACTCATTTTGTACAAGTGATCTCAGCAATCCCGCCGAGATCACTTGTAATAAGCCTGCAGGTCCCTCCTCCCACTTCCATTATCTGTCCCCACCACTGGCTGTCTCTGTCCCTTCTGGCCGCCTCCTTCCCCGCTGTGGTTTTCGGGGGCCCCCTCTCTTCTTGGGCACCCGGGACCACGGCAAGGTAGTTCAGGATGGAGAGCGGGGAGCAGAGCAGAGAATGTCCATTCTAAACTCAGGAATTAAAACTTGAAAATGCATTCAAGTACCTTAACTATTAACAAAAATGTATCTTATTTGTGTATCACTCAGCTATAGATCCTCAAATCATCTCTGAATTCATGCTGACACTGTCCTTCCTTCTGGAGGGTGGCTACTTTTGTTCCCAATGGTTCCTGTGTGTGTTGTAAAGTAGCCACCACACCAAGCTCGCTCCCATGATGGACTACAATCACAATACAAATTAGTAAATTAAATGTGAGATTGTAGACAATCACAAGAGTGAGCTTGGAGCGGTGGCTACTTTACAACACACACAGGGACCATAGGGAACAAAAGTAGCCCCCCTCCAGAAAGAAGGACAGTGTCAGGAGGAATTCAGAGATGATTTGAGGATCTACAGCCAAGTGATACACAAATAAAGTAATTTTTTATTAAAAGTTCAGTAGTTCAGCTAGTTGAATGTATTTTCAAGATTTAATTCATGAGTTTAGTGTCACTTTAAGACGAGAGGAGAGTGACAGTCCCAACATTTTTATGCCTAAAGACTCTAAGATTGCAAATCTGCCCAAGTTACTATTTCATTCTTCACATAAAAAAATACCACAACATCAATAGAATGTACCTTACGACAACTACTTCCATCGTCTCACTAGTGAATTCCAAAATATCCGCAGCAGTGCCCACAAACATAAGGAGAAGCTGAGAAAGCTGATCACGGGTTATCCCTGCTCCGATTGGCAGTAGCCATCTCCCAATAATCAAGAGCAGAAGAAATGTCTGGTGTAATCCTAGTGTCCAGGCTGATTGGCAGATTGATGAAATCAATGTATTGGCCTGTATTTAGAAAGAAAAAACAGGTTGGTGTTCAAGCACGGATTAAGATTTGTAGAAACATCATGTTTAATAAGATTTACAAGGGCTGGCTTATTGTTTGGCTTATGCAGAACAGTAATTTCAACTTAGAATGAGAAAATACATTTCCTGATGGTAATTCAGGGATGGTAATACTAGTAGTAGCCACACAAACTTTGGCTGCACTTGTAAATAGTGTAAATCACTAATTTAATTATTTTTATTACTATTATTATTATATGTCCTACATACAAGAGCTGGCAGAAACCGCTTATAGCTACCTACATATCATATTGAGGACTCTCAGAAAAGCTGCCCATACAGTGTTAGAATTTTGTTTGGATGTTCATTCAAAATTCATTTGTCAGAAAATTTGATCTTGCCATCATTCAGTTAACTAATTGCGTTGGAAAGTCCTTAAATTTCTGGAACCTCTCAGTGCTGATATACGTGCTGTTAGTCAATAGGAAAGAAAATGAATACAGCCATTTAAAAAATGAGGGATGATGTAATCTGAGCAGACCTCAAAAATATCAAACTGACACAGAATTTTCACAACTGCTACTGAGAGACTGCTAAAAAGACATGAAAGGAGAGAGGGAGTAATACTGAGCTTACAACATGGTACTGTTAGAAGTGATATCATAAGGAATAGCAAGAGTTACGTTAAGGTTGTATGTCCTGGAAAAGAATATAGGCTTACCTGGCTTAGTATATCATTTCCTGCTGTTCCATTAGTTTCCACTGATATGTTATTGTTAACACATTCCTAAAAAAATAAACAAATGCAAAACAATAATTGCTTTTCAATGAAATAAAACATTGTAGTTTTTAGTATATATACTGCCTATCATTTTGTAGCCCTAACATATTCAAAATAAATTATTTTGTTATATGGTATGTTATGTTATTATTGTTCAAAGCTCCAAATAGAAATTATGAGTATGGTTTAATTCTGTATTATATGTTCATTCATGATTCATGTTCATGATTACATCTAGTTTTATATGGGACTAGTATAGATCCCTGATATTTGCCTCCTGTATTCCCCTGCACTCACAGAGGAGAGGGGAAGAGGGGTCTGACCTTATAAGTCTGCTGCCTCTCCTTCATTGTCCAGTCACAGGTTGGGAGCAATTTGATAACCAAGCTGTATTGCTTAACTAGAGTACTGAAAAGTGAAGTCACCAACCAGGCTATACAAGGTTGTCTGGATCACAAGTCTGGTTTACCACCAACTCTTTTGGCTTTCAGTGGTGCGTTATTGCATGCATGTTAACACACGTGCATTTGCTTACGGCAGTCCATTAGTTTTGAATGGGTTGCCAGCTCACCTTAATGCACTCCACACAATATACCGCAATGCATTGCCTATGTGTTGTGGTTAGCTGCAGTGCAGGTGCCTTGCCCAGTACTTTAATAGCACATTGGGGTGCCATTCAGAATTAATATCACTGTAATGCGCACACTGGGTTGAATGTGTTACTCTGCATTGTGGTAATGTACTGTAAACTTGCATTTTCCTGGGCCTTAATGCGTCACAACTTTTTGAGAAATATGTTATTGTGTGGCTCTCGGGACATGTTGGGGGCCACCCTTGAGGCACATTAGGTGGCACCTGTTCCTCTGAGAAAAATAGTTTACTGATATAGCGAAAGTGCAGCTCTACTTGCATTGTGCCCTTTAAAAAGCATTTATGTTTTGCTTTACCCACAAAAGACTACATGCACGTTAGGTTAATTTTTTGTATTCATCCTAGGTTCCTCATTCTTTTAAGATGTGCCCAGTACAGTAAATCAACATACAGGACCTCACTTTTCTTTCTTTGCCCAGGGCACTATATATGACCAGTTAGCTTGACTCAATGCCAGACCATAATTAAAGTGATATAAGAATCAAAAGGTTGTTAAGCTATTTTTAAATGCTGGTTAAATAGCTTACAATGGACGCTGCTCCTTGATGTTTAATAGTTTTAGTTTCCTGTGGAATCAGCTGGTCAGCTGAACGCTGACCCTGATATCCTGTTATAGGTTGGCTCCTTTCCGTTGCAGGGTCCTATGGAGCCACCCCTTGTGTATGCTGGTAAGCTGTGGGCATCTCCACAAACATACAGGCACAGCAGCCAGCAAATCACTTTCCTCCCCTTTTCGCCTTCCTCCTTCCCACTCCTCATTCCTCCCTCCTTTCTTCTCCCTTCACCAAGCTAGTAGATGGATGGCTGCTGGAGACTGCTTTGTCCCTTGTGATCTTGTACTCAGGAAGTTCAGTGAAGTGGAGCTGAGAGAAGTGAAGCCAGCTCTTTGGAAACATGGTGACTGTAGTTGTTTGGGCAAACATTTAAAGGAACACTTTGCTGGGCAATGTATATTTCTTATTATCTGGATTCATTACTGAACAAAGATTGAGAGTTTAATACTACTTTAAGCATCCTTCTTCTGGCTCTCCAGTACTGCTTGTCCTCTCAGGCACTGACCTTGGCCTTTTTGGACTGTCTCCGTCTTGCATGCATTTATGAATGGCCATTTTCAGGATTGAGGAGGTTATTCACTAAAGAGACGAGGGATCCAGCCGTAGCTTCAGCTGATCCTTCTGCTATCTTCGGCCGCCAGAGCCCTTCGATTCAGTCGAATCGAAGGGCTGTTGTACAGGCTTTTCACAATAGCCCGTACAGCAGCCAAAGGCGGCCGAGTGTCTTAGCGGAGCTGAAGTGACAGCCGAAGCGGGGAGCAGCTTGTCGAGGAGCCGGCAGTTCTCCCCACAAATGCAAGCTGGGCGGAGCCAGCTGTGATCTCATGGCTGGCTCTGCCTGGTTGTAATGGCAGATCAGTGTCCCCAAATAACCTGAGGACGCTGAGCTGTCATTAAACAATAACAACTTGGCGGAGGCACCCGTGATGTCACTTCCGACTTCGCCCAGTTGTTACTCATTGGCCGAGACCTGTTAGAAAATTCCAATAGAAAACAGTTGGGCGGAGCTAGCTGTCAGCACTAGCTCTGCCAATTTTTTTTTCTTTTCTTTAAAATATCTTTATTTTTTTCTAATTTTATTATTTGTTTACATTTTTTAAATATTTTCTCAACTATTTTCCTTTTTTCCCCATTCATTTACCTGTTTTGCTTTTCCACTTGGTACCTCGGAGGTACCGAGCAGAATAGCCGAGCGGCATTCGGCTATTCACTTACTACCGTTCAGGCCCTATGAGAATAGGGACGAGTGGCAGCAAGTGAGCTGCCTGAGCTTTTGCTTGGCCTATCCAGATGTTGGATCGGCTGAGTCTAATTCTTTCTGCACTTCAGCTCAGCAGAGCATGTTCAGCTGACCAAAGGCAGCCGATGTACAGCTAATTTCAGCTTTTGCTCGGCCTATCCAGATGTTGGATCGGCTGAGTCGAATTCCTTCTGCACTTCAGCTCAGCAGAGCATGTTCGGCTGACCAAAGGCAGCCGATGTACGGCTAATTTGAGCCGATGTACAGCTGAAATCAGCCGTACTAGACTGAAGTGAATTGCCGAACAGTGTTTTATTCACTCGGCTGCCTTCGGCAGCTTTGTGAATAACCCCCAGAATAATCCGGCACATCTGTTGTTTTTAATTTACAGAACTGTAGTATTGTTGATAGTAACCTACAGGATTTACTACCAAATGATAAACTGATATGATTATGTCAAAATCTGAAAGATTATTTGACAGCTGTCAGTATGAGAAAGTTGTAGTAGGTTCTTTAAGGCTCTTGGAGAACTATGGGGTCAGTGTTTTTCCCCGTAGTTCTCCTTAGGGTAACGGGAGGACACAAACTAGCGTCCTCCCGTTACTCTTAGACGACGGAATCCGCCCAGCTGCGTGAGTGACAGCTGGCTCTGCCTATCTAGTGGCAGAGCCAGCTGTACCCGCCCCTCCCCCGTCCGTTCCGCCAGTCAGCGCTGGCCGATCGGAGCGGGGAGAGGGGAATCCAGCCCCTCCCCCTGTCACGGCAGAGAGCCGTGACAGGATTCAGAGGTGAGCGAACCCGGTATGTGTTCGCTCACCTCCCGATCTACTGAGCCGACCTGTGACAGTCTCATTGTCACAGGTCGGCTAGAACTATGAGGTGAGTGAAAAGCACTCACCTCATAGTTCTCCTTTAAGGCTCTTTAAGGATTGGAGATTTAAGAACAAATACATGTTTGATTTTTCAAGAGTTATTTTAGAATGAATGAATACTGCTTTTTATGAGAATTTTGTCATAATTTTCTGATTATACATGTCTTCACCTCTCTCATAAAGCTACTGAGGTTTCCACACAAACCTTACAATGCACTGCTGTTTATTACAGCCTTTGCTATGTTATATGTAGAAAGGAAAGAAGCGGACAGTTAAATGGAGTGTAGTAGTTGAAAGACATGAATGTGTCCTTTTCTGAATAGGGTAAGGGAATGCTGTGTCTGGAGTGCTGTGACATCATTTCAAAGTTCATAATCAGACTTTGTTTCCAGATGCAATGTCCAAATTGAACTTACTCTTGATTTCCTATGCTCGGTTGTAAACTGCTGAAAACATTTTCTCCACAGTCATTCACTATATTTTTTTATAACTATGTTTTGAGCGCCTCAGTCATTTTAACCGCACATGGAGATGAACCTTTCTTCATCAGTGTAGATAAGAGAAATGCCTAAAGTGTACATGAACCCAGAAAGTTTGCTATTTTAAAGGCAACATCTGTCAATATAAATTGTCCCAGTCTTGTGAGATTTTGAGTGAGATTTTGGTGGTGTCGCTATTGTATTGCTCACTGTTCTCCTGAGTTGTACCTGAGATGAATACACATGCTCCGTCATCCCAGTCATTCCAACCTAGCTGAAGAACTCCTAAACCAGAAGAAGATGACAAGGGAGACTGCAGATGTTGTAGCACTGGAAGGGGGCACTTTACATGGTATTTGTGCCATAATGTGCAAATATGCTGTGCATTCTTTGACATTATGGAAAATATTCTGGCAAGTCTGAACATTTCAGTTCCACTTTATGTTCTAGATAGAGTAGGATTAGAAACTATGTCATATTTGCCACATTTTCCTCATTTTCTGTCCTTATGTTCACAGAGCAAGTATGATGAATCTCCTCAAACGGGCCACACACAGCAATAGAGACCTGAGAGAGGTTCAAACATCTCACCAGAGATTACTTGATTTCTGCTGATACATTGAAAAGTGGCCACTTTTCCTTTGCTATTTACAGGCATAAGCAGGACCGGATTTACCTTTCCTGCCGCCCCAAAGCCAGTTCCCGCAAAGCGCCCCTGCACGCCACCCTTTTTTAAAAATTAATTAATTTATTTTTTAATTTATATTGCTATTACACAGGAGCTAACAATCCCCTGTGTGATAGCAATTGGAGGTGACAGGTTCTCTTTAAGACCCCGTCACCTCCAATACAGGAGTTTTAGCGCAGCACTGTGCTGGAACTCCTGTGACAAGTGAGAGAGTGTACTGTGTACACGGAGAGGCAGGGTTACTTTTAACCCTGCCGCTCAGCTCACCACTCTCCATCCTAAAGAAACAAGCGGCTTCCCCCATTCTTAATTTAGCCCTGCTTGTGCAAAGCAGGGCTAAATGTAGAAAACAAATTACCGCCTGGTACTCCATGTTCTGGGCGCCGGGTGACTTCAAACTTGTGCCGCCCGATCCTCGGTGGCCTTGCCGGGAATCCGGCCCTGGGCATAAGCCTACCATGCAGCAGAACCCTTTTCTTTTCTACATTTCAATAGCACAGCCATCACCGCTTGCAGACCAATGGCTTTAAAGTTTATTTACCCTTTGGCAGCCAAAAATAAGATAACCCCCCTATATTTTTGTTATGTGTTTGCATTAACACAGCCTACTTAAAATATACAGGCATCTTCTAGTGGTTAGATTAGATGGCAGTGTGCAGATAAAGGGACAGACTAAGGGACAGTTTTTCTTAGATATGCATTAACATACATTGCCTTGAGATCTTATGAAGACCATTTGTTAGGATAGACAGTCCCGTCCATCTAGTTCACAAGTGATAATGAAATCTGCCAGCACAAGTGATAATGAAATCTGCCAGTTTTTCAGTCCTGGAGTTTTTAGAAAAGAGCATCTAAAATCTATGCTATGTAAATGGGAACATGTAACAATAAAAATAAAATAAAATATGTGTTATCCCAATTTGGCTGCAAAAGTGGAAATACACTTTATTGCTCCTGGACAGCCTACAATACTATAGAAAATATACACTAGCAAAAAGCACACAACTGTAGGTTACTTTTTGGACAGGAAACTTACCTGATGATCATAGTTTATTTCAAGAAGCCACAGAGATGGCACTATGCTTATTAAATAGCAGAATATAGGAGGTGAAAACCTGTGGGAATACAAAAAGGGTTTTATGCAATGAAAATAATGAGTAATGTGACATACTGTATATTTAGTCTACATTTGTCCAAGTAGTCAATCAGTAGTTCTGTCTTCATACAGATCCTGCCCTCCTGCTGAGACTAGCACTGGCAGCACTTCCCAAAACAAGACCGATGCTAAATGAAGCTGAATATTACATTAGGCTGTTCAGCATTTTAGACCACAGAGCAGAGGAATTTAAAATAACAACATTTTTAACTAAGTTAAGGTATACATAAAGTAGAACTATGGTCTTCCATTACAAAATAGGTGCTGCTCTCACAGTTTTCTGTTAGGCCCCTGCAAAGTCCCACAAATACCTGTTGATCCTGCTAGTGAAGTCCAATTAATACAAATTCCTGTGATGGTGTGGAAATGCTGCTGCACTGCTCCAGAATTCAGAGCAGAGTTGCCACTCTCATATAGGCTGTTTCTACTTTACATCTACCGGCCTCCCTCCATCCATATCTCTACTCACCCCCTCATAAAAAGTTAGCAAGTTAGTTAGGCAGGAACGGTCTTTCCTGAACCCAATATACAGTGGGGAAAAAATATTGCAGGGTGTGTGACTATCAGCATTTTTTTTTTCTGTTGCTTCACAAGCTTGTGGCTGTTGCAATCAGCACCTGGCCACACCTAGTCCCGCTAAATGCTTTCTGGACTGACAGCATGGGAGGGTTAGCATGTGAGACACAAATGAATGCGAATTTGACTTTTTGATACTCTATGCATTTAAACACTCATCTCTTCAGGGAAGTCTATCCCACCTCAACCTAACCGCTCAACCATCACGTTCTCAAACAATTCATCCCCACACAGCTCCCTCCTCATGTATCACTTCCCCTCCCTTTTAGATTGTAAGCCCTCAGGGGCAGTGTCACGCTTGCACCCGGCATCTCCGGCCTCTCCAGCGCCGCGCCGCTGCGGCCGTGACGTCACGCGGGGCTCCGCCCCCTGTTCGCAGCTCCCTCTTATAACTGCAGCGGTGGCAATCACTCGGCGTTCAGTCAATGTGGAACGTCGAGCGATTGTCTCCTGCTGTTTCCACTGAACTCGACCGGCTCCCTAACTCAGCAGGAACTAGATGTCCCCTGGAACCCTGCTCACCACTGGAAGTGCCACTCAGCCCTTGCAGGAAGGAGCGAGCCCTCAGTTTAGAACGAGCTCAATCGCAAGTATAAGGGCTTTTGCCCTACATGTGGTATATCTGTGCTATTGCATGAACTGTTACATACTGCTACAACACTGCCTGTAGGAGCTAGCCTCATTTGAACCATACAGCAGGAGTACTGCACGCTTTGCTATTGCATGAACTGATACATTCTGCTTAACGTGTTGCCTTCATGTGCCTTGTTCCATCTAACGCTGTTGCTGGAGTCTTGCTTGTCCATGCTTGTGCCTAGCTTACCCATACTGCTGAAGAGTGTCTGTCTCTGCTTGTGCCTGAATTGTTCCATACCTCTATAGGAGTGGAGTCTCCACCTATCAAAACATATATACTAACGGAGCATTAGAGGAGGTTACATACCTAGCATAGCATTTGGTTGCATACGGACTACAGACCCATCAAGCCCCACTAATCATTAATACTAATTACCACACCCCTAGGCTGGGATACATGATGTGGAACGGCTCCCCATCACACCGAGTGTATTGGGGAGCTGTCTGACTGATCCAATCCCTTAAGCCTACCCCCAACAGTTTTGCAGTTGTGGTCCAACCCCCCGCTACTCGTAGGAACGTGACAGGCAGGGTCCTCCTTACCATCTTGTCTTGATTTGTATTGTGATGGTAATGTCTTCCCTATATTGTAAAGCGCTGTGCAAACTGTTGGCGCTATATAAATCCTGCATAATAATAATATTAATACTTTATGACGCTTGTACATCACATAGACTGTCATACAGGAGCCATTCATTATACCATAATTTTATCAGTAAGGAAGGGGACAATAAGCAGCTTATTAGGGACTGGCGCAGATCATAATATACTTGGACTACATACACTATATTGCCAAAAGTATTGGGATGCCTGCCTTCACACAAACATTAACTTTAATGGCATCCCAGTCTGTCAGGGGCACCGGCACAGGTGACCCCACACCTGCGCAGGTACCCACACAGGCAGACCAAACACTTATGACCACACCGGAATGGGCAGAATGTATTATATACAGTTTAATAAACAGCAAAACTAAACAACACCCAAAAGCAAACATAAATAAGTAACATCAACCAGACTACAAGCAGGTAATGGCAACAGGAGGACAAGCAGGTAATGGCAACAGGAGGAAAGGCAGGTAATGGCAACAAGAGGACAAGCAGGTAATGGCAACAGGAGGAAAGGCAGGTAATGGCAACAAGAGGTATCTAGGACTGCAAATGGGTAACCGGGCTCGGGACACAAACAGGGTACAGGACTGGTAACAGGACTCTGGGGACTCAGGGTTCAAGTTTCAGGAAACGATACTGAGCCATCATCCTGACTGCAGGGAGGGTTTAAATATCCTCAAAGGAAGCACCAGGTGATGGCTAAGTACTGGCAGCTGGGAAACAGGTCCCAGCTCCTGCGCCACCTAGAGGCGCTCTGGATCCTAATTATTTAGCAGCAAGGAAATTTCACGGATGGACTTATTGCACAGGTGGCAACCTATCACGGTACCACACTTTAATTCACTGAGCTCCTGAGAGCAACCCATTCTTTCACAAATGTTTGTAGAAGCGTCTGCATGCCTAGGTGCTTGATTTTATACACATGTGACCATGGAGGTGATTGGAACACCTGAATCCAATGATTTGGAGGGGTTTACTATTACTTTTGGCAATATCGTGTATGTAAACTGGTTTACCTGCCAATTACCTACCTGTAATTCTGTCTTGACAATTGTTAATTTTGTGTTGATGCACATACCTCTGTAACACTCTGTAGGTAGAAGATACCCTGTTTATTTGCTAGTTCTTGTGTCACCATCCCATCTTCCTGTCTGCACATTGAATTATGAATGAGCATAACTCTTCCTTCTGCTCTTCTCTTCAAGTAATCTGCCTAAATACCTCTTCTCCAGCCTCCAGTGCCTGAAAACCTGTAAGACTGACAGCACTGCACAATGCAACAGAATCACACTGGGTCAGAGCGCACACACCTTCCCAGTATTAGTCCCTAATGGCTGTGCAGGGGATTGCAGAAAGATAATAGAAAAACAGATTTCAGGCAATGATATTAGCAGCATTTTAAAATACCTGTCATAATTTTTTTAAACGTATATAACTAAACGAAACTGTGTCTTTTTTAAATGTACTTTTGCTTTATCCATTTAATGCTCACTGTGTGTAAAGTCCTGATATAAAAGATTGAGACTTTTAAAATGCAGGAGCCTAATGAGTATATCTTTTAATTAGAGATTTTCTAATACATATATTTTACTTCCAGCTGTTGATGCTACACTCATAGAAGTAACTAAGTTGAAAACAATGTTTGCCATACAGTGATGCAATGCCCTGCACATGCTAGTGAGTTATTATTCATAGGTGATAATTCGGAAGTGTAATAACCTACAGCATCAGAGTTGACCCTACTTACGTCAGACAAGTTCATGATGGATTCTAATTGGCTGCTCCGGTTGAACCCAGGGGCATGTAAAGGTGCCCATACACCTGCAGATTATCGTACGATAATCACGGGGAATCCCGCGATCGTACGATAATCGGCAGTTGTATGGAAGGCGTGCGACCGTTTCTAATGTACGGTCGCACATCTTTTGTCTTACGAGCAGGCTCGAAATCCTGCTGAGGATCGTACGATTGTCGTTTGGGTTTGTGGCGTGCTCGTAAGACAAATGCCGCACGGGCCGGTGCATTGCAGTCATTGGAAGCCCGCCCCTCAAGGGGGCGGCCTTGCGATGATCGCAAGTACGAACCGCCTGTCCAAGATGGGCAGATCGTACGTTTTTTTAATTACCTTACAACCATCGCAAGACAAAAGTCTTGCGATGGCTGTAAGGTGTATGGGCAAGGTGTATTTTTTTTTAACTCGCGCTTACGTTAAATAGCAGGAACATGGATGTCACTGTATGCATGAGTTGTGTCTTTTTGATCTTCTCAGGAGACCTAAAAGCTCGGAACAGTCTGACAAGTCAATAGTCAACAGCTTCTTGGTCACTGGCTCTGATCTGCTCTAGTCCTGGATAATGAGGCCACTCAAGACAATAATGGGCTAATAACAATGTGGATGAGGCAAACAGGGGTGAAATCAGAGCTAAAATCTGATAACTATTAATATGCCAGGTCATTTCCAACTTTTTAGGAATCAGGGGACCTACAGTATCTATTAGACACTGGGATAAGCATGCAGTTACTATAATTTTACATAAACATCAGCTTAAAATCTTTTAAATGCCCAAGGGTTTGCTTTAAAGCATCAAAATAAAGCACATTTATATAGTAATTAAAAAAATAACTATATGTTTACATACAACTAGCAGAAATACCTGATTTGTCTCTTGATATTAGCATTCTGTAATCCTCTGCACAGCAGGACCCAGGCACTGCTGCATTACGGTGTTGTCCCTCTATCACTGGAAGCTTCCTAACAGGAGAGAGCAGAGTGATGACCTCATTAGTGTGCTTCTGCTCTTTCACTGTTCAGTCACAGGCTGGGATGAGTCTTAAACCAGGCTATATTGATCGACTCCAATGTATTCTGCAGAAAAATCAAGGACCTCACTGTGCAGTGTGGCAGAGGTGTGTTGATTATAAGATGAGCAGCCAAGTTCCAGTGCTAGCAGAGACAGGAGCCATATAGATATTTTATCCGTATTAGCAGGCCTCGAGTGCATAGCTGGTGCTGGGCTGTCTTATTAGAAAGCCCAGCATGCTCTACAGACAGTGCATGTTGAAAGAATGTAAATGTTTTATGCAAATGATGCAAGAAAAAATATATAATTACATGATATAATTGCCACCAAGAAGG